TTTATGGATATTTGGCAGAAGACCCTCTATTCTCTCTACGATGCCCTGGTTGGAACATATTATTTCACATTTAGAAGGGTTCAGGGTGAGGCCTAAAACTGCACCTTGCTCCTGGATTTTTCTGATGTCCTCCATCTATGTCCATCTCCATCTATATATATATATATATATATATATATATATATATATATATATATATATATATATATGCATATACACAACTATACACATACACATACATACATACATACATACATACATACATACATACATACATACATACATACATACATACATACATACATACATACATACATACTCAATTTTTCCAATTATTGGGGGAAGGATTTCTGGTCAGTATTTCATCTGGGAATTATGTGCTGTGGGGCGGGGTTTTCATCTAGTAAATCGCGACTCTTGGGCCACCAGCTGTGGGAGTGGGGCGTCTCATCTTGGGCCACCAGCTGTGGGAGCGGGGCGTCTCATCTTGGGCCACCAGCTATGGGAGTGGGGCGTCTCATCTTGGGCCACCAGCTGTGGGAGTGGGGCGTCTCATCTTAGGCCACCAGCTGTGGGAGCGGGGCGTCTCATTTTGGACCACCAGCTGTGGGAACGGGGCGCCTCATTTTGGACCACCAGCTGTGGGAGTGGGGCGTCTCATCTTGGGCCACCAGCTGTTGGGGTGGGACGTCTCATCTTGGGCCACCAGCTGTGGGAGTGAGGCGTCTCATCTTGGGCCACCAGCTGTGGGAGTGGGGCGTCTCATCTTGGGCCACCAGCTGTGGGAGTGAGGCGTCTCATCTTGGGCCACCAGCTGTGGGAGTGGGGCGTCTCATCTTGGGCCACCAGCTGTGGGAGTGGGGCGTCTCATCTTGGGCCACCAGCTGTGGGAGCGGGGCGTCTCATTTTGGACCACCAGCTGTGGGAGTGGGGCGTCTCATCTTGTGCCACCAGCTGTGGGAGTGGGGCGTCTCATCTTGGGCCACCAGCTGTGGGAGCGGGGCGCCTTATCTTGGGCCAGCAGCTGTTGGAGTGAGGCGTCTCATCTTGGGTCACCAGCTGTGGGGGTGGGGCGTCTCATCTTGGGTCACCAGCTGTGGGGGTGGGGTGTCTCATCTTGGGCCACCAGCTGTGGGAGTGGGGCGTCTCATCTTGAGCCACCAGCTATGGGAGTGGGGTGTCTCATCTTGAGCCACCAGCTGTGGGAGTGGGGCGTCTCATCTTGGGCCACCAGCTGTGGGAGTGGGGCGTCTCATCTTGGGCCACCAGCTGTGGGAGTGGGGCGTCTCATCTTGGGCCACCAGCTGTGGGAGTGGGGCGTCTCATCTTGGAGTAACCTGTCTAACATTGGGTCCTCTAACATTTCGATGGTGTTCCACACCCTGATGGCTTGGTGCTGCAGTCTGATGTTTAGTGGCTGTGTGTTCAGGAGTTCATGGAGCTCCTGGATTGTCTGATCATATGGTGGACGGTGTTTTGCTGCTCTCCTTAGCGCCATATTTGGTACTGCTTGCAGTTTCTGCATGTTAGTTTTCTTTATGGTGTGTAGTGGTACTGGGGGATACTCTAGATGCGACCGAACTAGAGCCTTATATAGGTGAATCTGAATGTTAGTACTGAGGCTTCGGAATCTCCTCAATTTTCCTAAGGCTGTTTTGGCTTTGTTTAGTCGGTCCCTTACATGAGTTTGTATCCCTGTTCTATTTATCATAAGTCCCAATATTCTGCCTACCTCCGCATATTGGATCGGATGGTTGTCAAGGATGATGGGGTTAGGAGGAGGAGGGGGTTAGAGGATAGTAAAGGGGAGGGAGAGAGGAGGGGACGGGGGTAGTAGAGGATAGGGATAGGTGTGGAGAGTGAGTAGAGGATAAGGGGAGGGCTAGCACGGACTAGGGACGAATAGTAAAGGTTAGGGGGATCAGTTGAGGTTAGGGAGGGGTAGTAGAGGCTAGAGGATGGAGGAGGAGGAGGAGTCAGCTGACCAGGTGCTGACCAGCCCACTCCTATGAGAGAGAGAAGCATCGAACGATCGACCCGTTGCTGTGTCAGATCATTCCCTGCTCGGCCACAGCACACCTAGCAACCGTCCGCTGACACACCTGTCACTATAGCTGTCCACCACCCCAACTACCACCCCCTATCTGTCCCCCTCACACACCTGTCAGTACAGGTGTCCAACACCACAACTACCACCTCTAACTGTCCGTCCCCTCACACACCTGTCAGTACAGGTGTCCACCACCACATCTACCACCCCTAACTGTCCTCTCACACACCTGTCAGTACAGGTGTCCACCACCACAACTACCACCCCCTAACTGTCCCCTCACACACCTGTCACTACAGGTGTCCACCACCACAACTACCACCCCTAACTGTCCTCTCACACACCTGTCACTATAGCTGTCCAACACCACAACTACCACCTCTAACTGTCCGTCCCCTCACACACCTGTCAGTACAGGTGTCCACCACCACATCTACCACCCATAACTGTCCTCTCACACACCTGTCACTACAGGTGTCCACCACCCTCCAAACCTGCTTTAACCAGCTTGCCGAAAATACACACCATGACTGATATAAATTAGATCTTATAGAACTAATACATCTCGACAGAATACAACATTACTGCATTCTGTCCACTAAATACAACAAGGTGTTCACTATGCACCTGGGGCCAGATTCACGAAGCAATTACGCAAGCACTTACGAACCTGTCCATCTTTTCTCAATCTTTGGCGGCTTTGTTTACAATTATTAAACAGTTAATGAGCTCCGAAGCACCAGGAGGCTGTTTATAACAATAACAACAGTTGATTGGCAAGTTTTCATGCTTGTAAACTGTTTAATAAATGTAACCAAAGCCGTCAAAGATTGAGGAAAGATGTACACGTTCGTAAGTACTTCTGTAACTGCTTCGTGAATCTGGCCCAGGTTCGTAAGTGCTTGCGTAACTGCTTCGTGAATCTGGCCCCTGGCTCGTAAGTGCTTGCGTAACTGCTTCGTGAATCTGGCCCTGGTTCGTAAGTGCTTGCGTAACTGCTTCGTGAATCTGGCCCCAGGCTCGTAAGTGCTTGCGTAACTGCTTCGTGAATCTGGCCCCAGGTTCGTAAGTGCTTGCGTAACTGCTTCGTGAATCTGGCCCCGGTTCGTAAGTGCTTGCGTAACTGCTTCGTGAATCTGGCCTCTGGTTCCTAAGTGCTTGCGTAACTGCTTCGTGAATCTGGCCCCAGGTTAGTAAGTACTTGCGTAACTGCTTCGTGAATCTGGCCTCAGGCTCGTAAGTGCTTACGTAACTGTTTTGTGAATCTGGCCCCTGGTTCGTAAGTGCTTGCATAACTGCTTCGTGAATCTGGCCCCAGGCTCGTAAGTGCTTGCGTAACTGCTTCGTGACTCTGGCCCCTGGTTTGTAAGTGCTTGTGTAACTGCTTTGTGAATCTGGCTCAGGCTCATAAGTGCTTGCGCAACTGCTTCGTGAATCTGGCCCCAGGTTCGTAAGTGCTTGCGTAACTGCTTCGGGACTCTGGCCCCTGGTTCGTAAGTGCTTGTGTAACTGCTTTGTGAATCTGGCTCAGGCTCATAAGTGCTTGCGTAACTGCTTCGTGACTCTGGCTCAGGCTCATAAGTGCTTGCGTAACTGCTTCGTGACTCTGGCCCAGGGTCGTAAGTGCTTGCGTAACTGCATGAAAACACCCCAGTCACATCACACTTTAGAGAAATATAGAACAATATAGAAGACAATCTTGGGAGACTTTAAAGAGACGAACATCTCTTTCACACACAACATACGTCAGACCAATGATGCTGCATCTTAAGACGTTCTCTCAATTTGGGGAAAGTCAGGATTCATTGAGGTTACGAAACCTCTGCATCTTTCAACAATCTTGGCGACTTCCTTGAGGTTTATTGAACAGCTTGGACACTTCACAAGTCAAGGTTGTTATTGTTGTAAAATAACCCAGCTCCCATTTATTATATAAATGTAATTTTTACTGTATTTACATTTACTATGTAAATGTAAACAACTCCGCGTTGATCGTTGTAACGCTCCTATTGGTCCATACGAGGCAGCTCCTATTGGTCCATACGAGGCAGCTCCTATTGGTCCATACGAGGCAGCTCCTATTGGTCCATACGAGGCAGCTCCTATTGGTCCATACGAGGCAGCTGCTATTGGTCCATACGAGGCAGCTCCTATTGGTCCATACGAGGCAGCTCCTATTGGTCCATACGAGGCAGTTCCTATTGGTCCATACGAGGCAGCTCCTATTGGTCCATACGAGGCAGCTCCTATTGGTCCATACGAGGCAGCTCCTATTGGTCCATACGAGGCAGTTCCTATTGGTCCATACGAGGCAGCTCCTATTGGTCCATACGAGGCAGCTCCTATTGGTCCATACGAGGCAGCTCCTATTGGTCCATACGAGGCAGCTCCTATTGGTCCATACGAGGCAGCTGCTATTGGTCCATACGAGGCAGCTCCTATTGGTCCATACGAGGCAGCTCCTATTGGTCCATACGAGGCAGCTCCTATTGGTCCATACGAGGCAGCTCCTATTGGTCCATACGAGGCAGTTCCTATTGGTCCATACGAGGCAGCTCCTATTGGTCCATACGAGGCAGCTCCTATTGGTCCATACGAGGCAGCTCCTATTGGTCCATACGAGGCAGCTCCTATTGGTCCATACGAGGCAGCTGCTATTGGTCCATACGAGGCAGCTCCTATTGGTCCATACGAGGCAGCTCCTATTGGTCCATACGAGGCAGCTCCTATTGGTCCATACGAGGCAGCTCCTATTGGTCCATACGAGGCAGCTCCTATTGGTAAATACGAGGCAGCTCTTATTGGTCCATACGAGGCAGCTCCTATTGGTCCATACGAGGCAGCTCCTATTTATATCTACCCATATATATATATATATATATATATATATATATATATATATATATATATATATATATATATATATATATATATATATATATATATATACATGCTCGTGGAATCAGTCAGTAAAACTATTGTTAGATTCCATACCCAAGCCAGTGGTCTAACCAACACACAGTTACAAGCCAGTTGTCTAACCAACACACGATTACAAGCCAGTGGTCTAACCAACACACGGTTACAAGCCAGTGGTCTAACCAACACACAGTTACAAGCCAGTGGTCTAACCAACACACGGTTACAAGCCAGTGGTCTAACCAACACATGGTTACAAGCCAGTGGTCTAACCAATACACAGTTACAAGCCAGTGGTCTAACCAACACACGGTTACAAGCCAGTGGTCTAACCAATACACGGTTTGAAGCCAGTGGTCTAACCAACGCACAGTTACAAGCCAGTGGTCTAACCAACACACGTTTACAAGCCAGTGGTCTAACCAACACACGGTTACAAGCCAGTGGTCTAACCAACACGCAGTTACAAGCCAGTGGTCTAACCAACACACGATTACAAGCCAGTGGTCCAACCAACACACGGTTACAAGCCAGTGGTCTAACCAACACACAGTTACAAGCCAGTGGTCTAACCAACACACGGTTACAAGCCAGTGGTCTAACCAACACATGGTTACAAGCCAGTGGTCTAACCAATACACAGTTACAAGCCAGTGGTCTAACCAACACACGGTTACAAGCCAGTGGTCTAACCAATACACGGTTTGAAGCCAGTGATCTAACCAACGCACAGTTACAAGCCAGTGGTCTAACCAACACACGATTACAAGCCAGTGGTCTAACCAACACACGGTTACAAGCCAGTGGTCTAACCAACACACAGTTACAAACCAGTGGTCTAACCAACACACGATTACAAGCCAGTGGTCTAACCAACACACGGTTACAAGCCAGTGGTCTAACCAACACATGGTTACAAGCCAGTGGTCTAACCAATACACAGTTACAAGCCAGTGGTCTAACCAACACACGGTTACAAGCCAGTGGTCTAACCAATTGACCGCTCCAAGTAAGTTGTCTAACCAACAACCAGCTCCACATACACAACATACAACCAATGTTTTTAAACCAGCTGATGGCTCCAATCTGGTGGTATAACCAACAGGCGGTTCCAAATTGAAGGTATAGCCAACAGACGGCTCCAAGCCAGGGGTATAACCAACAGAGGGTTTCAGCACCATTTCAACTGGAAATTAAATATACATTTCTTTCATGGATATTCCAGCGCGGGCCCTTAGCCTCTGGCTGGCCTACTAAATATTACTCATTAATGTCTTACTCAGGCGGTGGATGAGTATTTTTGACTCATGATTTATGAGTAATTATGATGTATGACTCATATTTATAATATATGAGTAGTTATGTTGGCTTTAGTAAGATTATGTGTTTAACAACTTCGGCTCTGTTGAATCGTAGTTGAAATCGTAGTTGTTATGTTACTCTCACTGTGTTAGATAATGTTCCAGTGGTCTGTTGTGGTTGTAACTGTGCACTGTGTTAGATAATGTTCCAGTGGTCTGTTGTGGTTGTAACTGTGCACTGTGTTAACTAATGTTCCAGTGGTCTGTTGTGGTTGTAACTGTGCACTGTGTTAACTAATGTTCCAGTGGTCTGTTGTGGTTGTAACTGTGCACTGTGTTAGCTAATGTTCCAGTGGTCTGTTGTGGTTGTAACTGTGCACTGTGTTAACTAATGTTCCAGTGGTCTGTTGTGGTTGTAACTGTGCACTGTGTTAACTAATGTTCCAGTGGTCTGTTGTGGTTGTAACTGTGCACTGTGTTAGCTAATGTTCCAGTGGTCTGTTGTGGATTTCTCCACGTTGCTGACATTTGCTCTGTTCTTCTTCTCATGGAACCTGTAAGCTTGTAAGCTCAAGGCTGTAAGTTCACTTCTGATCTTCCATCGCCCTCATTCATCACAACAGGTGTTTGTAGTTCGTTGAACTGTTGCATCAACCCATGTTGCACATGTTGCCATGTGGTCACTGGGATCATCTTCTGCAGTGTTCTGTCTCTATAATCACATCCTATCTCTATAATTATTTTCGTAATCTGTGCTAGAGACTCTATGGGATGTAAATATTTACACTGTTGCATAGTTTCAAGTTTGTTGCAGATTCCTCTGCAATGTCAGTTTTCCCACATGACTTGGCACCCAACTGCTAAGTATGCAGTGACCTTGACGTTTGAATGATGGCGTTTAGGCTATAACATTTGTGCTGAGATTAATGTTGTCACGTATGTGTTCTTGTTGCAACCTTGCAATGGCAGTTCTCGACTCTGTATGTATGATAACATGTTATCGTTGTTGAGCAAAAGCATGTTTGATTAGCCACCATCAGTGTCCATATAACTGAGCTTTTGACAGTCTCCAACTAACTAGAGAATAAATGCTGCCATAAAGAATTTGTGACGGGGGGGATGGGTCTGGATACCGAGGGCAGTCCAGGGTACATAGGTCGTAGAGGTTAGTGGTCACCAGTATAACATCAACGCAGACCTGCGTCGACCACACTGGCCCTCGTGGACTTTGTCCTGGGTCTGCTCTGTACTCCAGTCCTTCTTTGCAATCTCTCACGTACCTGACTTAGGGGATGTACACAGTTTCCTGTTTCTCACACACACACACACGCGCGCACACGCACACACAGTTCATGTAGAACAGGTAAAGAAGACTTGGAGGACTACTAAATTGTAGACCAGTGTCCTTAACATGCATTCTAGAAAAAATCTAAAATAATCATAAAAAAATGCATGGAGAACTCTTGTACTCCAAATATTCTGCAATTTGGAGTGACTAAATTCACTGCAAATAAGTGTAAAGTAATGAAAATTGTTAAGGGAGAGAGAAGACTTGTATTTAACTATATATATATATATATATATATATATATATATATATATATATATATATATATATATATATATATATATATATATATAATATGACTTTTCTGCATGGCAGCTAAAGGGGTCACAAGCAGGTTAACCAGCGAACTCAACATCTGGTTTTTGGACGATGGCACCCTGGCAGGGACACAGGAATCCCTGCTAGAAGATCTTCAGCTGGTGAAATCTAAAGGAGAGGAGTTAGGCCTTACACTAAACCCATCAAAGTGTGAAATCATCTCATCCAGCCAACCAATCATAGATGCAGTACGAACCGTGTTGCCAGGAGCCCCAGTGATCGCTCCCACCAACAGTGTGCTGCTAGGGGCATCTCTGGGCTCGATCACCTTGAAGAAAAGCTGAACGACCTGAGGAGGATGGAGGGAAGAATAAGGGGCAGTGGACGCCCACGATGCTCTGTACCTCCTCACAAGGTGCCTGGCTTTGCCCAGACTTATCTATTTCCTCAGGTGTGCTCCCTCCTTCGACAGCCCAAAATTAACAGACTACGACTCACTCCTAAAGTCAATAACTATGAAAGTGTTAAACCTCTCCCTGCAAGATGACCAGTGGACCCAAGCAACGCTCCCAGTTAGACTCGGGGGTATAGGTATTCGCAAGGCGACACAGTTAGCATTGCCGGCATTCTAATCCTCGACCAGTGCTACAAGTGAATTAGTGAATGAAATACTACCAGAATACCAAAGGAAGTCCATTGGGATTCGTGATCCCAAATTTGTGGAAGGAGCTGGTCAGTGGGACACTCTTGCCAATTCACACACTCGACCAACTTTTCCAAACGACGGCAAACAGGCCAAATGGGACAGCCCCATAGTGGATCGAAACATCATTGCTGGAGGCAGCTTCTGGGAAGGACAAAGCGCGTCTCTTAGCTGTGCAAGCCCCCCATGCCGGGGACTTCCTGTTGGCAGTCCCTAATTCCGCCTTGGGCACCCGCCTGGACCATCGGACCCTAAGTATTGGTGTTGCCCTGCGCCTTGCTGCCCCTATCTCCACCGAGCACCGGTATATTTGCGGCCATGCACGGGCAGACCAATACGGCAGCCATGGTCTCATCTGTCGTAAGACACAGGGAAAGATTGCCAGACATGAAGCAGTCAATGACATCATCAAGAGAAGTTTGGCTTCAGCTGGGTGTCCAGCACAAAGGGAACCTCAGTTGTGCAGACCTGACAACAGCCAAAAACGCCCCGATGGAGTCACCCTTTCAGCCGTGGAGGGAAGGTAGACAGGTCGTGTGGGACTACACGTGTGCGTCTACATTGGCTGATACCTATCTACCTCACAATACAGCTGAGGCGGGGCGGCCACCTTCAGGGAGACCCAGAAAACCAACAAGTACAGAGAGTTAGAACGTTGTTACAGGTTCGCGCCGATAGGCTCTGAGACTCTGGGCGCCTGGGGTAAATGTGCACTAAAGTTCTTAAAGGAGGTGGGCGAGGAACTCATTAAGAAAACTAAAGACTCAAGAGCGGCCACTTTCCTGTTCCAGCGCCTCAGTGTCGCAGTTCAGAGAGGACATGCGTGTTATATCTTGGCCACGCACGCAACCTCCGAAGAGCTGGATGAGGTCGTCGAACAGTGAATGTCATATGTGTGTGTGTGTGTGTGTGTGTGTGTGTGTGTGTGTGTGTGTGTGTGTGTGTGTGTGTGTGTGTGTGTGTGTGAGTGTGTGTGAGTGTGTGTGAGTGTGTGTGTGTGTGTGTGTGTGTGTGTGTGTGTGTGTGTGTGTGTGTGTGTACTCACCTATATGTACTCACCTATATGTGCTTGCAGGATCGAGCATTGACTCTTGGATCCCGCCTTTCTAGCTATCGGTTGTTTACAGCAATGACTCCTGTCCCATTTCCCTATCATACCTAGTTTTAAAAGTATGAATAGTATTTGCTTCCACAACCTGTTCCCCAAGTGCATTCCATTTTTCTACTACTCTCACGCTAAAAGAAAACTTCCTAACATCTCTGTGACTCATCTGAGTTTCCAGTTTCCACCCATGTCCCCTCGTTCTGTTATTATTACGTGTGAACATTTCATCTATTTCCACTTTGTCAATTCCCCTGAGTATTTTATATGTCCCTATCATATCTCCTCTCTCCCTTCTTTTCTCTAGTGTCGTAAGGTTCAGTTCCTTCAGCCGCTCTTCATATCCCATCCCTCGTAGCTCTGGGACAAGCCTCGTCGCAAACCTCTGAACCTTCTCCAGTTTCTTTATGTGTTTCTTCAGGTGGGGGCTCCATGATGGCGCGGCATACTCTAAGACGGGTCTCACGTAGGCAGTGTAAAGCGCCCTAAAAGCCTCCTCATTTAGGTTTCTGAATGAAGTTCTAATTTTCGCCAGTGTAGAGTACGCTGCTGTCGTTATCCTATTTATATGTGCCTCAGGAGTTAGATTAGGTGTCACATCCACTCCCAGGTCTCTTTCTCGAATCGTTACAGGTAGGCTGTTCCCCTTCATTGTGTACTGTGTGTGTGTGTGTGTGTGTGTGTGTGTGTGTGTGTGTGTGTGTGTGTGTGTGTGTGTGTGTGAGTGTGTGTGTGTGTGAGTGTGTGTGAGTGTGTGTGAGTGTGTGTGTGTGTGTGTGTGTGTGTGTGTGTGTGTGTGTGTGTGTGTGTGTGTGTGTGTGTGTGTGTGTGTGTGTGTGTGTGTGTGTGTGTGTGTGTGTGTGTGTGTGTGTGTGTGTGTGTGTGTGTGTGTGAGTGTGTGTGTGTGAGTGTGTGTGAGTGTGTGTGAGTGTGTGAGTGTGTGTGAGTGTGTGTGAGTGTGTGTGTGTGTGTGTGAGTGTGTGTGTGTGTGTGAGTGTGTGTGAGTGTGTGTGTGTGTGTGTGTGTGTGTGAGTGTGTGTGAGTGTGTGAGTGTGTGTGTGTGTGTGTGTGTGTGTGTGTGAGTGTGTGTGAGTGTGTGTGTGTGAGTGTGTGTGTGAGTGTGTGAGTGTGTGTGTGTGTGTGTGTGTGTGTGTGTGTGTGTGTGTGTGTGTGTGTGTGTGTGTGTGTGTGTGTGTGTGTGTGTGTGTGTGTGTGTGTGTGTGTGTGTGTGTGTGTGTGTGTGTGTGTGTGTGTGTGAGTGTTTTCTGTAAACTGTAGCAATGTTATA